CACCAGGGGAGGCCCTGCAGTTCTTTTTGATTGCTTTAGAAAATGTATCCTTGGGCCTAGATTCTTGGTGGAACAGAATGAGAATGGGGCAACAGAGCTCTCCCCTAGCAACAGCACCTGGAATTGGAGGCTTGTCTGACAGTCATGGGCTGATGGCACTGAACATGTCACTTCACCTCTGTGCGCTTCCATTTCCTCATCTGTGAAATGAGTGAGACAGGCCACATGATCTCAGAGGTGTCTTCCAGCTTCCCACTCGGAGATTCTATTATTTAATAATAAGGGATTATGAAACTATGCTCAAATATCAGAGCAAGGTTTTGCCAACTGAACACAATAACTGATTTTGTTTGCAAGCTCAGTGACTTTTTTCCATCAGTGAGAAAGGGTTGTGAAAGCTCTTCTGTATAAGCAGGCCCCATATTAAGACAATCTGATACAGGAGAAGCTCAACTTACTAAACAGATAAATTAGAAGATGATTATTTGCATTACAAAAGAATTCACCACAGGTTTCCTTTAAATAGCTAAATCCCCCATGCATTTAAAATACAATCAGATTTAGCAGAATTCAATCTGCAGGGTTTTTTTTTTCAATGACATAGTTATTGCATAAAAGGACCATAACCTAAGGTAATGAGAAGCCACTTTTATATTATGTATCATATAAAGAAGAAGGGAAAAGGATGAAACCAGCTTGTGATGAGAACTATCGTGGGGCTGGAGCCTCGCACATAATCTCATTTCCTTCACAAGATACACCTATGAGTTGGTTCCCCTGCCCCCATTCAAAATAGGAAGAACCTTAAAACACAAAGATTACATGGCCACGTCTAGAATCTTGGGTGAGGATTCAACTGTGGGACTGTTGCTACCACCCCCAGAGTGCAGAAACCCATGGTGGATACACAGCTAAACCTGATTTGATAAGGTGGACTGTGAGGGTGGCATCCTGGGGTCACAGGAGTCCCTGATTCTATCTCATGCCCCCCAGTGCTGTCTAAGTAGCAATAGACACATCACTTCACACTTAACCTGGTCTCAGTTTGTTTCTAAACTGAAGAATGATATCTGCTCATTCCCTGGGCTGTGAACTCAAGTAATATAATGTATGTAACCATATTCTATAAACTGCCAGCGCTATTAGAATGTACAGGGGTGCCAGTGGTCTAACAATCATTCATGAAACAAAAATATTTAAAGGTGTATTCTGCTTAGAAAACTACGTTCCCATGACACTCAGAGCTGGTCAGAGCTTACAAGTCATGTGTCCAAGGAATCAAAGGAAAATTGGAAAAGACACAAAAGGAAAAACCAATTGAAAGTGCAACATCTGACCTAACCATCCCAAACTGGACCACCTGGAGCATCCAAAGGTCTACTGTGGTGACAAGATATCCTTCTGCAGGACAATGGTAAATCTCCCAAAGCTGTAAGAAGGATACAGTGCAGAACTCCTACCACAGAGGGTCATCACCATGAACAGTTAGCCAATAAACCACCAAACCTCTCCTACCTCTTCCCTCTTCTGCAGAGCTGATTCCCTCTCCCCCAGATCTGGATTCCCCCCAGCTCCTATGTGCTCCTGTCACAATCTTAAGACCTGGTTCTCTCATTACCTCCCCCGCCCTCCTAGGGAGTGAGGGATTCACTGACAGGTATCAAAATCTGAAGAGGCATCACTGTCATCCCCCAAATGGAGCATTGCTTTAATAAAACAATTCCTAGGAGATCCATAATTTTTTTACCAATGAAATTGTTAGAGGGAAAAGATGTCCTGAGCTAATCCCATACAGGCTTTGTGGACCCCACCCCCACTCCAGACCAAAGTCATCAAGACATTGGGAAAGACGAATCCCATCACCACCAAAGGGAAGGTTGCTGGGACCTGAGGGTGGATTAAGCAGCCAGGGTTGGTATAAAACCAGACACGTGGGTCTTGGGGGGCTCGCTCTCCTCTTGGCTTCACGGCTCATGGCTCGCGGCTCGTGGCCAGCTCTCAGAGTGTCATTGGGATTCCAGGGCAGCAGAAAGGGTAGGACGCATTGAAGACTTTATTTCCCTCTTTTCTCCCTGGGTTGTACATTTCCTCATTTCCCCTTCCCTTGTAAATAAACCTTTTATTAACCTTTTGTGTGTGCCTGCAGTGGAGTATTAACAAGTCCTTTTTAAGCGCGTGGGTGAGGACCCACAGCCAGGCACCCCGTTTTATATCGGGGTTGCCCTGTAACAAAATGACTCTAATAATGTTGAAGACTGGCAATGAAACAAGCCAATACCGGAAGCCATCAGGAGTCAGAAGCCTCTCAGCAGTGCCTCTCACTGCAAGGGCATCACCACAAGGAAGGAAGCTCCTGGAACAAGAATACATCAGCTCAAGGTCCTTCTCAGTCAGTGGGCAAGTTCATTACAACTTGTCAAAACACCAAGTAGAAATGAAAATCAAAGAAAACACCTTTCTGAATTAGGGAGGGAGGCCCAAATCTAAGAGTCTGGCCAACAGAAAACCCACTTTGGGACTAAGCACTAAGATCCAGATGCTCTCTGCTCACATCCTCTCCTGGAGTGTCTGTCCCTCCAAAGCAAACTACTTGTCTGTCTAATGATGTCCAATCAGGTCCCATCAAGAAAACAGCAACCGTTCCCCCAAACCTTCACAAGTTAGCCTGCTCAACAGACATGGAGATGCAACCAGAGATTGGCTATGGAACCAGGTGAAAGATAAATCCATGCAGCAGCATCTTTTTTAAGACACTGGGGCCGAATAACTCCACTCCCCAGACTAAAGCAAGGTTGGGCATAACAGAGACCAGAAGAAGACCGGCAAAGAAACTTGGAAGGAAAAACATAAGCGCGTGGGTGAGGACCTAGCCCTCTAGCCCTGAAATGTTCAGAGTTGTGAGCCTCTAGCCCTGAAAACAATGGGACATTGCTACATAATGATCTGTGTGTGATGTTGCCAATATGAACGTCATAAATTCACACATAAATACCAATTAAACAGGGGGTTCCAACCTGCCCAGCCAACTTTGAAAATACCACCTCTCCAAACCTCTAAGCTTTCTCCTGCACTCACTGGAGCTCAACTCTTCCTTTTTCCTATTCCTTTTGGATTTGGATGTTTTTAGAATTATTCAAGTAGTCATAATTAGCAAAGAGAGGGTGGTAGGGCAGAACTAGCAAGCACAAATCAGTGGAGCCTAAATAACAGTACAGAGCTGTGTTCTCAGCATCTTTCTCTTCGCTCCCAGTAAATGCTCTCCTAGAGAACCTCTCCTCATCTCTTTGTCACCCCATCTCTGATACAAGCAGGACTTCTCTGTCTTCATCTCAGGTATGATACAACCTGTAGTTGACTCTGAAAGTGCATTTTAAATTCTGACTTCATTTTCCCTGATAGATCTGGCTTTGCTCTACAAATTTATCAAACCACCTATTTGCAAGACCCAGACAATGAATTCCACGCAGCTGATTCTGTCCTCCTGCAGAGCTCTTTCAAGACATTGTTCACAAGCAAGTGACCAAGGCAAACTAAAGTGGTTTCTGTAGCCATTTGCAATTATTGACAAACAATTTCATAACGGAAAATGGAAATTACAGTCAAGTGCAATAAGCTGTTTATCCAGGATCTACCTGCTGGTGGCTCTTTTCCTCTTTTTATTTTTTTTTTTCCCAAGCATAATGCAAGCTATCATCGGAATGCATTTCTCCCTGTTTCTGATCTTTCTTGTCAATATCTCCACTGGAAACCCTGTTTTCCAGTTCTGTCAGTTGGCAGGGCTTGTAGCCGGTCACGGTAGTGACCGAGACGGTAGTGAATTCTAGGGAGTTGGAGAGGCTCCCACGCCGTCACATCTATGGTAAAGGATCACCCCCAAATAGCAAATAGGGCATTCCCTCCCGGGCGGGACTCGCTTCAGAGACTGTGGGATTTGGGCTTCTGCGCCTAGCGGGTGGCTCTATTTTCACCCGCACCATCCCGGGAGCACAGACACCCTCTGACCCCAAGCTCTGCAATTGGGGCCACCGGGAAACAATTCTTGAGGGAAAAGCGTGGGGAGTGTGGTCTTGCGCAGTTGGGTGCCTCGCACGCCTCTCTGCATTTCATTTGCACCAAGTAAGCGTGTCAGACAGACGGTTTGGCTTTTTGTTTTTGTTTGTGTGTGTTTTTGGCAATTCTGTTATATTTTCACCAACTGTACAAACCTCAAGGGTTTCCCGAGCTTTTTGGCAGAGCAGATGGGCTCCATCTAGATGGCTCAGAGGGTTCTCTAGCTCCATCTCCATTTCTACCTCCATTTCAGCCCCCCAAGGCACTCACCCCACCCACCCCCCGCGACTCTTCCCCCCGCTGCAAGCTCCTTTTCCTTCTCAGTTCCCTTGGCTTTGAACCCTGGCTCCGGGTAGAGTCCAGGGCCTTAGGGGAAGAACCTGGTTCCTCTTGCCTTTCCGGCGCCAGTGGGGGTATTCCGGGGCCGCCCTAAGAGCCCCGGAGCGCCCGGGGATCCAGCCTCCGCGCCGCCCGCCCGGGAGCGCCTCCGCCCGCGCCGCACCTGGTCTCCCCGAAAGCCCACGCCCAGCGCCCGTCCGCCCGAAGCTGGAAACTGGAGCCACCTTGTCCGCAGGTGCTTCGGGAGACTGTTGGGTGCATTTGCCTCAGCTCTTAACACTCAAGATTCCCCCAGACCGTTCCTCTTCCCCCGAGCCGCATCAAGACACAAAAACTCCAGTGTTTTCCCGAAAGCCACAAAACGGGGGCGCAGAAATCCCAGCCTCGCCAGGCTAACTCGGAGAACGCAAACTCAAGGCAGATGCGCGCTGGGCGGGGATGCGGGGTCTCCAGAACCCCCAAACCACCCGGCTCTTCCCGCGCCTCCCATCTTCCCTGGATCCTGGGTAGACACTCATCCACCCCTCAGGAAGGCGGGGGTTACCCCCCAACTCATCCGGAAGCCTCTAACTTCGGAATTCCCTCCCGGTAGATTCGCAGAACGCAGGTACCTCGTCACCTCAGCGGGGCAGTTTCGGACTCCGCCGGGGCTGGTCCAGGAGGTCACCCGGGCGGGCGAGGCGAGGAGGGGCGCTTTCAAATCCTGCCGCCGCAAGCCCCACCGGGGCACCCCGGGCGCGCCTGCCCCCCTCCAGGCACCCTTCAGCCTCCCGTTCGCCGGCTAAACTTTTAAGGGATCACATCTCCAAGCCTTGGGAGTTCCGAGCCAAGCCTCCCTCTCAGCTGAACCTCTTCACTGAAATGTAATCACGGGAAGACAAGAGAGGTGGCTGCCTTGTTCTTTGCAACGTAAAATCAACAGACACCCAATCAAGCTCCAATGCCCGGCCAGCCCCTCGCCCCCTGGTGCCCGCTTCTCCCTCGCCCCCCATTCCCGCCGCCTCCACCAGCCAGTGCTCCCCCAGACTCCGGGTGTGCAAGGCCATCACTTGCGCCCAGGAAAAGCAAATCACTAAAGTGATTTGAGAAAGAACACAGCGCACCTGGCCGTGCACTGGCTGGCATTAGGGAAGAAAACGCAAAGGGGACTAAAATAGGGAGAATTCTCCTTTTTTGCAGCAAGCAGAGCGTTTGGAGACAGTTTGGGATGGGGGCTCTTTTTTTTTTCCTGTGGTTGGGCACTTGCTTTCTCCTCTTTTCCTCTTTCCGCTGCTCGGCGAGTCTTACCCTGCTCCCCGCAGAGGGCGCGGCGAGGAAGCCCGCGGGGGCCCGCAGCTCCATGTCAGCGCCGCGGCCGCGCCAGGCGAGCACCGCGGCCGCACTTGTGGCTGGTCTCGGGGCTGAGGGGGCTGAGCTGGCCCAGCCGGCGCCAAGTCGCTTCCATGTGAATAACAAATACTCCCACCGGCGGCGGCGATTGGTCTGCGCCCGGCGCCTCCCGATCCTCCGCCCGCGGCCATTCACCCCGCGCGGCGCGGGGAGCCGCGGCCGGGATCGCGCCCGGGATCGCCAATCGCTTCGCGCCAACCAGCCACCTCGGGGAGCGAGAGGAGGAACCCCCGAGGGGCGGGGGCCCCTGGATTTCGGTGTCACGGAGCAGCCCCGGCGCGGGCGGGAACAGGAGCGCGCGGCGGGCGGATTCCCCGCGCGCCACGGCACCTTTGCTGGCTGCGCCGCGACGCGCAGATCAGAAATGTCAATAGTTCTGATTTTTTAAAAAAATCACCCTCATCCGCCCCGCCCCCTACAAAAAGGGAGGACCCAGGGCTGGGTGCGGGGGGAGCGGGGAAGCAGTGCGGGCGCATAGAGAAGGAACGTGCTCGGGAAGGTGCTGAGCGCCTCCGGCTGCTCCACGAGCCCGGACCCCGCGGGCAGGCGCCGCACGACGGCCCCGGCGCCCGCAGCAGGACCGCGAGCCCGGAGTGCTCGCCTGAGCTCAGTTGCGATAAGAATGCACGGGGGACCGCGAGACTGCGGCCACGCTAGGGGTGCGTGGGGGCCGGGGGAGGCGCACAGTAAAGCCCACCAGCCGCGCGGTTCCCCCCGCAAAGTTTGCCTCGCGCCGCGCAGCTGTCAGGCCATTTATGCTGCGCCGCAGCTGGGGCGTGTCTGTTCCCCACTCCCGCCCTGAGGTGTCGGGGTGCCTTCCACCGACCCCCAGAGGTGCAGGGTGGCCATCAGATGGTGCATTTCTCTGCCCTACACACAGAAAGGGGCTCAGGCGGCCGCGGCGGCCACCATTGCATGGAGCTGAGAAGGAGCCGCAGACGCGGGCCAGGAAACTCCTGCGGACCCGCGCTGCCGGCTGCAGGGCTGCTGCGGGGAAGCCTCGGGATTCCCTTTGCCTCCAGCCGATGGAAACCCGCCGGACTCTACGTGCACCGGCCGGCGGCCCTCCCTACGCGCCGGCACCCAGACACCCCGCACCTGCCGGGAGAGGGAAGCCCTCGCCGCCCCGCGCGGAGCCAGGTGGCCGGCCCGGCCTTGTGCTGGGGAGAAAGTTCCATCTAGAGGCGGCCGAGCGCAACTGCAGCGCGCGCTCCAGGCCTCCACCCCGGCCGCGGAGCCGCGCGCGAGCAGCCCGGGCAGTCAGCGGGGTGGGGGGCAGGACCCAGAAGCGGGGCGCGTGCCAGGCGGGTCCTCGCCCCGCCATTCGCCGTCTCAGCAATGAACTTCATCCCCTTCAGCATCATGGACCTCACGCCAGGAGGTTTGCGTTGCGCGGGTGCCTCGACTGTCCTGTTGGGGCTTCCCAAAGCTCTGGGGGGTGATCGGATAAGTCCTCTCTACCGATAAGGAAGGAAACCATGGCTCTGAGACAAGGAAAATACTAGAGCTGCCTGATTTTAAAACCCACGCACACTTCCTCGCTGGGCTTGTTGCTTTTTCCAAAACCTGGACAGGGTATGATGATTCCCTCGAGGAAACCGCAGCCTCTTTGCTGCTTTCATAAAGCCACGCTCACCTTCTGTCACTGGGGAAAATGTACCGATTGCCAGCCCAGGGGCCCACACCCCTCGCGTTCTTTTTTTTTTTCCATTCCTGTTTCTCTCCCATCTCCGCTCTGATTATGGAATCCTTATCTTACAGCCACAGCCACCTGGAGGGAGAAAGGAGGGTCTGGAGAAGGTGTGTGTCCTCAAGTGTCTATAGAAGGAACTTCTATGCCTTGACTGTGCAGCACAACTCTGAGGAGGGGAGGGGAAAATAAAGGGGGCAGTGGTCAGTGCTGCCTTCAGCAGGCCAGGTGCAAGGAAAAGGTACCCCTAATAGATACAGAGATAGGGTGGGCTCATCAGCCATATGTCTGCATCAGAAGTTTGGGGGGTTGTCTTATCAAGTGAAAGAGTCTCCTCCCCCTGTAGTGGGAGGTCAGCTCAGACACTTGGTTTCTACAGCAAACAGCTCTCACCTCACCCCCAAACTGAAGAGAGATGATATCTGTCTCAGCAGAATCATCACAGGTAACACATGGGGCATAAGTTCTTCAGTAAACCCTTTACTCTGTGTGCTTTAAATCCATTTGAGGGGGCCAGAGAGGAGTGGAGGGATTGGAAGAAGAGGGCAGGCAGAGCATGCCCCCAAATACCCTCGCCCACAGAGCTGCTGGTCAGGGTCTGCTCAGCCAACTGCAGGTCCAGTAGATAGTTGCCAGGGGTGAACAGGAAGGGGGCAGCACCCTCTCACCCTGGTGGGCCCTTTTCAGTAATGGGGACAGCACAGCTGGCTGTGCCTGGAGGCCTAACAAGGCTGAGTGAGCTGCTCAGGGCACAGCGCTTCTCCCTTCCCATTGATCATTACCTGCAGAGAGCTGGCGTCCCACAGGCACACGGCTGCCTTTTTTGCGGCAGCCTAGTGAGAGATGCGTAGCATTGATCTCTCCCAGGGAATGCGTGATTCTGATGGCTGGTTTTGTATCATTTTAACTCTTGAAACTCAGAATGGGGCCACCAGCAAATCCTATATAAACTATGGTCGACAGAGACTAGATCCAGTCTACAAATTCTGGGTGATATCCAGTGACTTTATCGGGTGACCTCAGAGCTACAACATAAACTCAAGAACCTGCCATAGCCACCCAGGCTGATAAGAACATGGGGCTCAGGAAGAGAGATGATCTCACTCTCACACCAAAAAATGCATTGGACTGCCCAACCCCATTTCACCAACCCCAAGACCCGCAGTCCTGCTTGCCTTCGGCTGCCACCACCGAATCACAGGCAGCATCTCAGCCAGGGGAGTCCAGAAGGCAGGTGACCCAGAGTCACCACCCAGCCACACCCAGGGCTACACACTCTACCATGTGAACTGTGTCCTTGGAAAGTGACTGAACTTATCATCCATCTCACCCCAATTATTTATGCAAAGCCAAATACATTTCCTGGTGGTTAATCCTCCAAGAAGATTTGCCTATAATCTTCTCATATTCAGTTGATTTAAAATGTGAGAAACTGCCCATGTGCTAGGAAATGCAAAAAAACAATGCCATATGTTTGGGGTCCATTTAACTCAAACTGTGATATGCATTCCACACATGGAGATTTATGCCATGTTTCTTGCTTTGGGGTACTCATAAAGACTGGAACCTAGGCAGGCTACTCCCCCAGGAGGGAAATTGACAGCATGAAGCTCCTGCATGGAGCAAAGTTGACAGGGGACCGTGGGGAAGGAATTTGTTTCTTTTGGAAAGTAGGACAATATTTTTCTAGCTAGACCATCTGCAAGTCGTGGTAAGTGCACCATGTGTGTTTTGCTCAGTTTGTTGAAACACTGGCTACTGGCAGACAAGTGAGACTGACAGACAGGGCCAGTGAGGTTGGTGGTGTGCTCCTCGCCCCTGCAGCCAGCTCACACTGGTTTGCAGGGGTCACGGGAGGGGCTTCCCAGGGGGGTGCATCTGGCACAGGACAGACACATGCCTATTGCTTTGTTTGGAAGCACATCCCAAATCCAGGATTCAGGGACAGGTCGTTTATATCGGAAGTGGGTGAACTTCCAAAATCAGGAGGGAAATGAGCCAAAAAGATGTATCACCAAGTCAGCTGCCACCGTGGGCACCTGGAAACTTAATCCTGGTAGAGAATTCTGGAAGCTGGGATAGAACACACACCACAGAGTCCCCCCAACCAAGGGGTAAGAGAAATAGAGTACCTGTACACCTACTCCTATTGGTAAGACATGCTCCCGGTGGGGTTAATTCAGCAGTTCCCCTAGCAGGTGGGTGGGCAGCCAGCCTCCAGAGAACAGGTAAAGCTAACAGCAAATAAGCACACAGGCCTGTATTCTGTAGCAGGCCACGGTGTGGAAATAAGTGGTAAATCTGAAGACAATTGGGCAGGTGATGGCACCTACAACCGCTGCTCTTAGGACAAACACTCAGAACACACACTGATCGAGGCAATGTCTCTCCACCTGTGGGCCTGGAACCACCTGCCTGTGTTGCTGGATCGAAGCACAGATTCCTGGTCCCACTCTGGGATGTTTGGACCAGACGCGCAGGGATGGGGCCTGGAGACCTGCATGTTTTGCAGACATTCCAGATCATTCTGATGATGTTCACTAAGATCTGAAATGCACTGCTCTGAGGAAAGCAGTCCCCTCCCAGGCAGTCAGCAGGAA